CAGTAAATTCTGAGGAGTGTGCTCACTTGCCATTTTTTTTGCAACCGTGAGATTAGCTCCATAACTTCAGCATTTTTTATGTCTTAAACTCTTGTTCCTTTACAAGTTACATTGTCCATTTTTTATTCCACATGTGCTTTGCTTGGTTTTCAATTTAGCTCCATTTTTTTCACATTTGATAACTGCTGTTAATTAACTAGTGTGATGTAGGTTGAAAATATGAATTTAAAACACTGTTGACAGATTATTCTTTTTTCCGGGCCAGACGTTTTGAATGAATATGTCCAGATTTTTGTAAATGACCCGATGTATTGAATTTAACATGTCACAATAAACAGTTGTATGTGAATCAGTATTGCAAGCTAGTGGATTTTCCTTTCATTACCTTTCAACAGCATGTGTTTAAAGAATAGCAAGATTTGGTTATGGAGGAGCAGGTATTTTTTGCATGCACCCCCTACCTTAAGTATTTAAAACAAATTATTTCACATCTTCTCTGATTTGAAATTGGACCAGTTTGCCTCATCAGTATTTCTTTGTCCTTGGGGCTCCATCCACCTCTTCACTTTTGTTTGGTGGTCTCAGTTCAGTCCTACAGAATTCTGGCTTTCTTGGCAGGTATTTCATTATGATTATGCAGTTCATTGAGATATGTGACTTGTGTCGGCCTACTGTTTTTTGTTCAGTAAGACTTATTTTGTACTCTGTAGCAGTTGTACCAAGCAAGGTATGTATCTTGTGATCCAGGTTTCTTGTCAGCTGATAGAATTTCTTTTCAGACCTATGGGCCAATGAGAGACACTGTGTTGTAGCAGGTGCCAACCTGACATTTTGTGTAGTCAAGTTTTGCTTGTGTTTCCTATGTAAATTAACACAATTCAAAACTTATTTTGTATCAGGTGAAGCAATTTCTTGTACCATATATCTGTATGTTTCCACATGGTAAAGACTTTAATTGACTTACAAATCATACAATGCAGCACACAAGTGGGCATATATTTTGTCTTGCCTGTTTGTCACAATTTGAGTTTATGTGAATGTGGTAAGTTGAAATTTTTAATTCTTATGACATTTGATGTAACAGAAACCAGGCTTGAGAGAATCATTCTTTGGGTTCACTTCTTAAAAACAGTCATGGTAGAAATGCAGAGTTAAAATGTCCAACCAGACTGTTACCTAGCCAGAATACAATGGCTATCATTTAGTTTAGTTTGGGCTAGTTGGATATCAAGCATGTGAACAAGGAACTCCATTAATGGCCAATTAGGTACTGCATGAGTGCATCTTTAGCCTGAAACTGATTTGAGTGGAGAATATTGTTTTATTTGTGGACAGTGGGCCCTGTTATAACATTGGGGCTCTGGTACTGACAAGTCTATTGGAAAAGTTTCTTGAAATTGCTGTCCAGGTTGAACATTTTTGGAGAAATGCAAGAAGTTGCTAATCTGTCTCACTAGTGTGAAGCCCGGTGAGGTAAACTGGATAAATATGACCTTCCATTCAGGTTTCTGGATGATATTCATTAGCTTTGACCCATAAATGTAGTCCTGGCTTTCATGAACAAATATTTGACAGGTGACCGACCACTTGAACTTTGGAGTTGATCTGAAATAATTTATTATCTTTGGTTCTGTTTTAATGTCTAAACCACATGTAGAATTTATTTTGAGAAATTTTTCTCATACTTTGGACTGGCTCAGTGGCCCACCCAGCCTTTTATGCAGTAGATATCGATAGATTATTGCAATTGGTTATTGTAGCTCAGTGGTATTCAACCTTTTTTGGTCGTGTACCCCGAGATATACTTTCTCTTCAACTTTGTACCCTCAAAGCTGTTGGTGTATAATTTAAGTGATATATAGTTTATAATTACATCTAAAATAAATTACATTACTGATTATTCAGTGTTTATAATAAAATATATATGTATTTTTAAATTTCACGTACCCCATAAGATGTCTTTGCGTACCCCAGGTTGAATACCACTGGTGTAGCTGATTTTGATTCCTGTTTGATGCTGAGGCTGATGCATGAATACTGTATGTCTTCTCCCTTTGTATTCACAGCATGGTGCGTAAGTAAAGGGACTTTATAACCTTTATCCCTGTAATTCTGTTCATTCCATATGAAGTCCAGTGGAGGATCTTCATTGCCGTCATTGTTCACTGCCATATGAGCTTGACGATGAACATAATACCATCACTGTCAGACAAAAAGACTATTTTGAATTTTTTTACAAACAGTTTTGGTAATGTTCATGTCAGAAAAGGTGGACTCCCAAGACTTGATGTAATGGTTTGATTTGCTAACCTGAGTTTGTGCATGTATAGACTGAATATATATTGACTGTATGGAACATTGGCATAGTCGTACATCTATTCATATAATTCTATTTACCTGCACACAATTGCAGCACAAACCTAATGAACAGTTATCAACTATTTGGTTATTGTAAATATGACTGACATAGTAAATTTAATATTTATCAAACTGATCAGTTGATAACATCAGTAGTATATAAAGTATAATTTTGGTTTATTCTCTATGTGAGGTTGAAACAAGATGTGTATATGCAGTTTGACTGACTGATACGGGACACAAATATCAAGAAGAAAATTGTATGGTAAAATGCAGTGTTGAATGAAACTCAAAAGTTGTGAGCTTTCTCATACCATTACGTGCTGGTTTCATATTAGTATTAAATAAAAGATGTGAAAGTTGCCATCATTAGTAGATTTCTATATAGGGTTAGCAAGGCTTAGAAATCTAATGCAAAACATAGTAATTTACTTAACATCTTTATATGACCAGGAACATTAAATTTCAGTGGTCACAACATTTAAATGTGGTGACTCTAATGCACCATATGCCATCAGTAATCTTTCCATACACTGTTTAGCAACTTGGGCGTTTCATTTTTTATGGTTTCAGTAATCTTGATCACATTGATTTACGTTGCTAAAGGTGGTTGAGACACTTGGGTCTGGTTGTCAAGGAAGCCATGCAGTTCATGTGCCTTTACCAGCCCACTGACCTGGGAACTGACTAAAAGAACTCTGGCACACTGCATGAAAATTTGGGCACTCAAGAGAAGCACATCCTTGCTCTCTACACTGTTTCTTCACTTGCACCTGGCTCTTTTTCTTTTTTGTCTCAACAATATGACTATGCAAGACACAAATTGACAACTAGCTAGATGGTTCTTTGGTGTAATGTGTATGAAATGTCCTTACCATGGAATATTTGGTTTTGTAAACAAAAAACACTACACTTGCCAAGTGTTGGTAAAGTCATTTTTTTGCTTTGTGCTTTGGGTGGCAGCATGTGATGTACCACAATTGACAAAGGCCAAACTTTAATTTGATACCCATAAATGAATATACCTTTTACCAATTTTAAGTGATACAAATACTGTTACAGGCATTGTAAATTGTAAAGCTATTTTGTGCTGATTCTCTACATTGTTTCTTTTATGGAAACAACATTCACCCAGGTGTACAATGTTTCACAGGCATGAATGGTTAGGACTAGATGTTCAAAGTAATAGTTTATTTATTTTGAGATGTAATGTTGGCAGGTGTGTTATAGGGACTGATAGGCCCTTGACTATGATCTGAGGATGGTAATTAACCAAGTGGTTGCTGTCAAGTTCAGGTAGCTGTTGGAGTGACTGGAAGCAGGGGCTGCTTGAGGGTGGTGTCCGAAGAACTATCACATGTTGTGTATAGTCTTTTATTATTGGCCTGTTTGAAATATGATGATACAGGTTGACTGGACATGTTGAGACTTAAAATATTTAGAAGTTTAAGTTCAGATTCTGTAGCTGAGTGACAAAACTGTATGGAATTCATGTGTCCCTGTCCTACAAAATTGTAGGAGTTTATGAAGTCTTCATATGATGAAGTTATGCGTGGCATAAACAGATAAAACACTAATTTTGTGTGCCTTAGGGAGCTTTTGTTTCAGATTATTTTTTACATTCTGTAAATAAACTGATTGCGCGTCAAGCTGTGCTGTCTCACATCTACGAGCCTGTTGGGAATGTATTTATTTGTTGCTGGCTGATCAGGTTATTTATGTTCACTGTATTGTTGATAGTAGACTCTTTGGAGGTCTGAAGCCTGTCTTCAGAGATATGTGCCTTAAATATGAGTGTAACTGCAATTAAATTTGTGGTCTGGCATTCACAGTTTATGGTCAGTAATTGTGGATGTGACAGTTGCAACAGAAACTCCGATTGATATTTAGTTTTGGTATGATTCATGTCACAGTCGAATAATTTGTTTAATTTCATGTTAAAATCACCTTCAGTTCAGTTTCCATATTAAAGTTTTTTTATGTGATCATTATTGGAATGGTAAGAATTGAAAACTGTACTGTCAGCATTGTGTTACTTTGACATAGTTGAAAATGTGGTTTATGTAACGTGTATTTGTATGTCATTTTCACTGTTATTCTTAGGAATATTATCCTTGTGTATTACAGTATGTTACCTGTAGCAAATATTTGGGAATGGGTTTGTTTGGTATCTGTTCAACAGTGATCTTGGCATGCCTATTGACTACACTGCCGTCTGGGTGCCTCATTTTTTTGTTTGTCATCAGTCTTTCGACAGGTTTGATGTGGTCCTACATTTTCGCCTATCTTGCACCAATGAAAGCAGGCTGCAAAACAGATTCATAGTCACATGGCAGTTTTGTGTCTTTTGGCATGAACTTTCTAATCGAAGTGTTCCTTTTATGATAAATATTTTAATTTCAAGCGTAAAAAACAAAATTTCAGTAATTCAGATGGGATGTTATGGCACTTCAGATTTGCATTTGTCATTGTTGATATATTTCATGTTGACAGATGCAAACCATTGCAGTAATATCGCGCTACTGTACTTTGTTTTGTTCTTATCATTTGTGAGGGGTGGGGATACGCCGTTGGTATGTGTTGCGGGTTGCAGCTCCACCCCCTGTTTCCCACCCCATCCCGCCATGCCAGACGTCACAATGGGCTCGCCCATGCTGAGCCTGCTCTGACCCGGCCGCTCCCATTCCGACTAGAATAGTCGGTTAAGTCGGACGTTCTTATGAGTGCAGTGTGTCCATCTAGCGATGTCGGGCAGGTAATAATCAGGACGGGGCGGGGCGCCAAGACGTTATGGACGCGTTGCTAATTCGTCGCGTGTCCTGACGTCAACACGCATGGATTTATTTGGCGTGTGTGTGTGTATAGTTCAAGTGCGTGGATACTTCTTTTTATTCTTCACGTGTGCCAGGTTGCTGCTAGGGAATAGGAAACATGGCTGCCATCATAATATCGTTTCCTCGAAGGTGAGTCTCCAGCTATCTTTGTAGCAGTGCAACACTGTCTCTTCATTCATCTATTCTACCAGCCGGTACGGATGGATACATGGGCGCTGTCTGCATACATTATGTACCACTTTTCTTTCATTTTGTATTGTCTACAGAAAAAAAAAAATTTCGTACCCGGCAAAAAAATAATTCCTGCCATATCCCGAAGAGTGGGAAAAGTAACGTGAAATTGCCAAATTTCAATCAAGACAACTTTATTGCTTGTGGTTCTGTGTAAATTGCATCAAGGGGCGTGGCTTGCATTAAACTAGGCAGTTTTATACAATGGCCTTGTTTTAGATACCAGTTTTTCCTCCCACTGAAGCTACAAAACACGCTTGTTAAAAATTGTGTCCCGGAAAAGACAGTACTAGTCACTTGACACATATCTTTGGATACTGCTGTTTAACCGATAAACACTGACGAAGACCACCAGTACAGATTTGTAAAAGCTGTTTCTCGTCATTGGGTCACGAAAATAATAAACTTGCGCCAAATCTGTTTGTGTATCCAACCGTGCAGTCAAACTCTTCTCATATTTCCAGTCTAGTCTGAGCAGGTTTAAGCATCATGCCATATTTGACCAAGCTTATAAACAAATCATGTGATGCGCACCACTGTAATGGCTTCCTGTAAGATCGTAGCTGGCAGATGGAATTACTGTCAGAAGAGTTTATAGGCTAAATATAAAATTTCCGTGAGAACCTTATTATTGGACTACTACTGTGTTCTGAATTGAATATAATCTTCATTATTGACTTATTCTAGAGTTTTAGTGTAAAATGTGCATGTGGTTAACTTAAGAATATATGGACTCTTTAGAGAGGTATAACACACAGCCGTAAAAATTGTTAATTAGCGTATGATGCAAGAGTAGGCCTATGTATTGTTTGACTTTTTAATGTTGCAAGGTTTTGTGGGTGTGAGTGAAATATGTTATTTTGTCGTGTAATTAGATAAAGACAACAGGATGCTTATCTGTGAATATAAACTTGCTAATTTGTATTTATTTTAAATGTAGGCGTAATCTTAGAGCTAGCAGGCGATTTATTAAATAGTCGTGTACAACTTTTAAGAATAATTTTTCAAAAATTGCGATAGTATATAATCCTTTCTATTCATAAACATAACCCATATATCTTAAGAATAGTCTAATGTTGTAGAATCACATTGTTTATGAAGATACTGACCGACGTTTCAGATGTGCTTGCTGCTCCATCAACAAGGCACCTCTGAAACGTCGATCAGTGTCTAGCCGATTACACGGCCCAACATCTCAGAAGACAGCCATCTTAATAAACGTAACTGTGATTATCATAATAATAATAATAACAACAACAACAACGATAAATCCTAATAATTTTAGGCCAAATAACATTCTGTAATATGTTTGAAATTGCAAGCAGTTATAAAAAAATGCTCCCCAGTGAGATTTGATCTTATGACTATCTGCACGCGTGCCCAGAGCGCTAATTCATGAGCTACATTGTACAACTGTAGTGAATGCATCTAGATATAACTGAAACTTGGAATTTGGTTCTGTTGGATTTTATCATCACACTTGGCTGGGTGATATTCTGAACACGTGGTAATTAAACAACCTGTTAACTTACGAATGTTATCAGAGGAATCTGTGCAAGACTTAGATCTCTTATTGTACTTCATCCAAACGTCACACACTCACTTATACAAGATGCAAACAACGCATTTCGAGTCTTTGTTCGTATGTTTCAATTCATGCCTCTGCTTTCGAAATCATATATTTACAACTCACATAGGCACACACGCTCATGTTTGATTTAGTTGCAGACACACGATGCCATATCAGGTAGTGACACTTGATTTTGGTGTCACGTATGCCATGGAACTTAAATATTCTTTTAAATAAAGATGATGGAATTTGTAGAGAGAAACGAAACATTTTATGCCCAGTGCACATAAGTCTTTCGGCTTTCGAAATAACTGAAAGCGATGTTTATTTTGTATTATCTTTTATTATTATTAATATTTATTATTGACTGCAAATGGGTTTTTACCCGGTGGCAGTGGTTCTAAAATAAGACACAGAAAAAACATAAGACACAACAAAAACAACAAGACACAACAGAACAATGAGATACAACAATACAATAAGACACAACAAAGCAACACATCACACTCAAAATAAAACAACTCATAAGATTACAAAACCATCTAACCTAAAGTACTTAACTTAAAAATTAGTACCAACTAGACATAAGACAATAACAGTAATGAATTACATACGTCATGAACTGATGCACTCACACAACAAAACATTGAGACACAACAATACAACACACCACACTCAAAATAAAACAACTGACACACAATACAAAAACACACATCCACTAATTAATCACAATACTTAGAGTAGAATATAAAGTCCGCCGTCAGTACATGAAAATTTTATCCCGAAGAACTACAGCCCTTCATCACTTGGAGACTAAGACACTTCACTTCCCTTATCACCATCTAATCCACACTTAATAACCCCTTGCTTATAACTACTTTTCTGACCCTCTTTCTAAAGGTGCCTAATTTCGACTTCATGCAATAAAATATTGTGATTACTTAACATTCGAGAATTATATATATTCTGGAGGCAGCAGCGTAGCGAGTTACGAAATGCGCAGGACGTTAATTTCTTACAAATTCGAAACTGAGTCCTGGTGATAAGAATATGAAATAATTTAGTACCCGTAACGAAACTGTGAACCTGTGAGTTTTGAAGTTCTTCCGGCGGCGAGGATGATGTAGTTGATGACCTGCTGGGTTTTGATAGATTAAGTTTCGAATAAACCTACTGTCTCCGTATTCAGCCCTGAAATTGGCAACAGTATGTTCCTCCGAAACTTTAGTATCTGCCAACGAGTCTACACGGCGCAAAAATTCAGGTCATTATCATAATAATCAACTACGTCACATACCGTCGAGTCTACACGGCGTTAAAACCCAGAAGAACATCTACTGCATCAGACTGTGTACCTGACTCTGTGTCCACGTAAAGGAAATTTGTGTTATTGCGATATAAAATTAATCATCTGTGTTGAAGTGTGTTAAAATGTAAGATGCTGTGTCTGATAGTTAGTTGTGTTTTATATTGTATGTTGTTGCATTACTCCCAGCACCCATTACGAAGCGAATACCAATATACGCAGAGGTTGAGTGTTGCTTACTGATTATGACAGTATTATCCAGAGGGAGGAGTTTCGTTAATGAGTTTAAATAGAGCTTACAATTTACTCCCAGCAGTTTGTTGGCATATAAACAGCTTCAAGTAAACCGAATTCAGATATGAACAACAAGACATTTGTGTGTTTGCAGTGGTACATTTGAATGCTGAAAACAGAAGATCTTTTTCTTGGTATGCATTTTTGCTTAGTACGGTAGGGTCCCGATTAGCCGACCTAAAAGAGACAGAGGGATGGCCGGATAACCAAAAACGTCGGAATAATACAAAAGACTAATGAAAAATGCGAAGGTAAATAGTAACTCAGTTTATAACGTTTTGCGTAATTTTGTCTTTATCTAGTCTTTGTAGGCTTCAAGTTTTTGTTCTTTGGAAACAACCACTTTTTATATTTTTACTTGACATGTTAATAAAAAGGACCTCAATGTATGAGAAATTATTATTCTGTCAACAACGTAAAGCGAGACTGCACACATCGTCATTAAATTTAATTATGTCAGTTAGTAACAACCGAACGCCGTGGCCGAGTGTCCACCAATCCTGCTTCGTATTCAGGTAGTCCCGAGACAAAATTTCGGCCCAGAAACGGGCTGTCCTAAATGAGGCTTTTTGTGGTTTTACTTATTTCCTCCAGAAAATGCCGTGATAGTATCCAGTATTCTTTCCATATCCTTTGTAATTAAACATGCATTAATCATTATATTAATCGACGTTACATGATCTAGCTACTGATATTGTCGTTAAACAAACTATAAATAATAAATGAAACAAGTTTGTAGTTTTATTCTGTGTTAATCTAGACGGTTTATGTGAGAGATGGGAAGAATTTTGTTGAGATTCTGTTTTTGCGGTCAGAATGTTAAAACAACTTTCCAAGTAGACATAATTTTACATCAGGGAACTGTATTACCCGCATTTCTGTGCCTTATTTGAAGCACATTTCGCTTTTGGATTAGACTTGCGGAATTTCTTTTGTCCTTTGTTCTGCGCAATGCAGTCGTGCCTTAGCAAGGTGATCAATTTTGTTTGCACTTGTACGCTTTCATCCAAGGCTTGGGTTGGCAGTCAGAAGATGAAGAGAGACCTCACATCTATAGTATTTCGTGCATTTCACGATTGGGGTTCAACAACCCTAATGTTGAATTTATTTTTCATTATTACCAATAGTAAGTTACTGAACATTGTATATCCTACACAAATTTCAGAGTCATGAAAATGTAACAGCACTTAACCAGGACAGATTTTAGAAATAAATATAATGCTACAAATTTATGAAATAAATTTTATACAGTATCCGACACTGAATATAAAATTAACTTTTGTAGGAGTTTTTGACAGGCAGCTTAAAAATAGTGAGAAAGTACCTAAACAGTTTGTTTCAGTTAATGGTAATTCTGGTTTTAGTAGGTTTCCAGATTGTTATTAAAATTTTACTTCACCGGAGCTACAATTTAGTCATATCCAGGCAGTAAGAATGGACGTAGTTCTGTGCAAAATTTCCTGGGGAGTTCTTAGCCCGAAGTTCAACCACCATGTTGAAGGACCACCTTTGTCGGAGGTCCAGTAATGCTTATTCCGCATATTTTCAGCTATTAAAATAGATCTTAGATAGATAAATGGAATGGAGTGGATTCATCTGGCTAAGGATAGCGACCAGTGGCGGCCTGTTATGAACACGGTAATGAACTTTGGGGTTCAACAAAATGTTGGGAATTTCTTTAGTGACTGTTAGCTTCTTAGGAAGGACTCGGCTCCATGGAGTAAGTAC